CGCTTTATGTTTATATGTGTGTGTAGGTGACCGAAATAGTTTCCTAACTCAAAATTTGGATGCTCGTACGGCGCAGGTGGTCCTAACAGTTGTTATATTTATTCCCCGGTCATGACTTCCATGAATTCTATAACAAATAAAAATTTATAAAAATTTAATCAATATTTTGGTTTAATATTGTTAGGTTACTAACCATCGAAGTCCACGGTGCCAGATCCATCAGAATCAATTTCCTCAATCATCATGTCCAAATCATCATTAGTTAGTTTATCATCCAATTCACGCAAAATTTCACGTAAGACACCAGTTGTGATATAGCCATTGCCTTCTTTGTCATACAAACGGAAAGCCTCTTTAAGCTCCGCCTGCATAGCTTCTGCATCTTCTTCAACTAAGAAGCGGGCAGCTAATGTTGTAAATTCTTCGAATTCAATCTGTCCGGAACCATCCTCATCGACTTCAGCAATAATGCCAGCTAATGTGTCATCATCGAGTTGGTGACCTAACATACTCAAAATGGTGCCAACCATAGCAGTGTTGATGTAGCCATTTTTTTCTGGATCGAAGGCATTGAACGCATTGCGCAAAACTACAAAGACACAATTTTAAGAATTTGTTAAAATTTTTTATTAAATATTTTTAAATAACTATATTTAGTGAAATTTAGTGTGTAATCAATGTCAGTGAATAATGATTGTGAATATAACAGACGGTATAGAATAGAAACTAATCTTAATAAGTAAAGAAATAGTCTCAAACAATTGTTCAAAAATATCTAATGTTAATAAAAAGCAATCGTAATAAAAAATACATTGCAAATTGTTGTTATTACAATATAAGTCTAACACAGTTTAGTCTATATCAATTCAGATACTGAAATGCTAATGCTTTATTACATATATTTCTATCATGAAATCAAATTGATTCTTGAAAATTGCCCAATTATATAACCAATTTTAGAGAAACATCTAGCACATCAAACGCACATCCTTGAGATTTGACATAAAATCATAAGTACTACAGATATAAACGTTATATGGTGGAGACCCTAACTCATAAAAGCCAAGAAAAAAAATTATTTGGAGTAACTGAAATTGTACAAAAAACCCTGAAACTAAATCCTTCCATAAACATAAACCTTTTCAGAATGATGTGGAAAGTTATATTTAATATTTCTCGACGTTAGTTTTTTACAATTATAGGGAAACAAATAATATTTATAATTTAACTTATATCTATACAGAGTAGACAGGTTTTCTACATAAAATATAACAAACAATTTTCATTTTGTTTGTTTCTAACAGTATAAGTATGAGCGTAACCAATAGGTGTAAGAATATGTCCTTTCAAGTTGCGAATAAAGCAACATTTCTTAGAAAAAACTAGACCAATCCAGTAATACCTCTCTTATCACTAATTGAACTAATTGATAGGTAGTGATAATATACACATGTGTATATATATGCGCAGACAATGCGGCACAGCAATTGAAACTAGATTCCCGATATTAATGCAATGTCCTTTTTATATTAAATAATATAATCATAGACATAGAGTGGAACGTTCTTTATTTAAATAACCTTTCTTTCGTCGACAAGTTTTATGAAGCAACTATTTAAGTTACAATAATTATTTCGAGATAGGTTAAAAAATCTCGATATCTTATAATATATATATATATATATATATATATATATATATATATTGTATATATTGTTGAATATATTTTTTTAATAACTAGCAAAAAAGGAAGAACTTTTCGTTTTTAGGTTAGGAATAAAACCTATCCTAATTTCAGAACTCTTAAAACTGTTCCCATATTTAGTTTTATCTTATCACAATTTATTTATTATTCAGAAATTATTATAATTGCTTATGTTATAGCAATATGTTATATAATGAATGTTAATGATAATAATTATAAATCCTCCTGTATCCATTTTATATTGTAATGCAATAAACATTATCTTTGTTAAGCCCGTGTGCAATTTCGAGTAAATTTGACGATAAATTGAACGAAATAGTAAATTATGTCTGTATGGCAGCGAATTTGGTATTTACCAGAATTTCTAGTAGGGTAAATTAGATAAAAATTATGTAAATTCGGTGTCACCATTGTGGAAATTTTAAAAAAAGTTTAATAAATAATTAAATAAATTTGAAAAGTTTTAACCAAAAATTATAAATTAGTGAAATAAATAAATAAATAAATAAATATTAATGTAAAAGAGTGCTTGCAAAACATCCCTAGAAAATTTTAATTTACTTTACCTCAATTTACTCGAACTCGCACACAGCCTAAGTATTGGTTCGAAGTCGATTTAAATTATGACTCATTATTTCAGAGATATGATAAACTATAAAAAATTTATAACTGAATTAAAAGTATTAACAGTATTCCATAGATCAACTATATCCACAATACGTTCAAAGCATAAGAAGCATTTGGCATTATATGGTAGTTCCAATTAAGAAAATGAAAAAGTTATGGAATATAGTGTAATATAGAACATATCAATATACACATATTAATATATATATACGAACTGCGATTGTTTTCATATTGTTTAACTCAATTTTTGTATGAGTATTAATTTTTAATATATTACAAAATATATGGTATATATAATTTACAATGTTTTTCTAAGTTATTTAAAATTTTTTAACACCAGTGAAATGTTTGACAAGCAGCATTCGCTGCCGCATTCTAAAAACTATATAAGTATAATTCTCATTAGCTTTGTTTACTTCAGTATAAATAAGATAACTATAATTCTTAACAAAAAAACATTAGTTTTTTTTTTGTTTAGTCTTATGTTTTAAAGTATTAACACAATAAATAAAACAAACATAAAGCAACTTGTTATTAGATAACTAAAAAGCAATTTAAATTTAATTAGATTTAGGCGATTACACGCAAAAAAAAACACTAGTAACATTTCGTTGTAGCTAAGAGTTAGCTTATCGTCTAAAGGCTCGTCTAAAAAAATAAAAACTTAAGTCAAAGCGAAATTCACAACCTATATATTTCATAAGAACGAAATTAACAAAGTTCGCCGCTTTTATTAATTTCGTTCCTATGAACTACATAAATTTAGTTTGTTGTGCATTTCGCTTTGACTTAAGGTCGCTTAAGTTCTTGCAGTACGTACAGACTAACTGAACCTTTAAGCCTGAGAATGTTAATTAAAGACAAAGATTCTTCAAAATTTTATTAACATTTAAATTTCTACATTATTATATGTATGTACATAATGTCTATGGCACAATATGTTTTCATTCCGTTGTAAACTAATTTTTGTTTAGATTTTAAACTCAAAACTTTTAATGACAGTCTTAGTTAAAAACTCTCAAGAAGCCTATCAACAAGAAGCACCAAATCGGAATAAGAAATGGCCTTGAAATGATGCAACCATAATGTGTACAAGTATACTGAGGAAGAAATTTGGCTTAAGTAAAATCTTACCTAAAATAATCTATTATTTAAGAACATTAAAGAATATTATGACTAATAAAATCATAGTAGTTTTTTATTGAGAAATGTTAATAAACATATATTATAATGCGCTCATTATATTTATTTTTATCTTTTTTTAAATAATTGTAAATATATATATAATATCAGTTTGACTTTTGTCAAGCTTCGCATTGGCTTCCGCCATTCGATAGTTACTCAACCCGGCAAATCCACTTTTTGTACTTATCGCATTTAAGAAAAATTATTGTTCAACCTAAAACCCAACACATGTGTGATTTGCTTTTAATTTATTGCATTACAACACTTTTGAAGTACTTGCACCTTTCTAAAAAAAATTTTATCTTAAAATGAAATGTTGCTGATATTTTTAAAAATAAATGCAACTTTTTCTTATGTTGTCCACCAGTTGCACGCGACGCAGAAAAATCTACCTCGCCGTTGTCTATTGCCGCGGCGGCTTTTCAGTCGCTCCGCACCACACCAATTCGATTCGGTTGTCAGTCCGTTTGTCCGTCCGCTCACATTAGTCTATCACTTCTTGGTTAGCACAGTGAAGTGTTGGTCATTTAGATAATCCGTCGTGTAGGAGTTGTCTTTTATTAAGCAAAATATTCATTTTTCAATGTTGGCAACTCGAAATAAATTACACCGAACGGACAATCTTAAATGACGGAAAGTATCGGCTGACTACTTACGTGAATATTTTTTGGATTATTGAGGTGCTCTTACGAAAACTCTAAATTTGTCAAACAGAAAGTACTTGTGCCAAATAATGAAGTCCTCCTATGAAATAAATGACGCAGTTCCCTACAATTGTCAATTTTGTCTTCAATTATACCAAAACATAAAAATTATATTATTATTATTTAATACTAATTTATTGTAAATCCATTGAAAAATATTACTTATTTATATGTTTAATTCTTCTTTCAGTGACAATACTGTTTTGTGGGGGACTCAAGATTTCGACAAATCACTAAATCAGATTATGAAAGTTTGATTTTAATAATCAAAAAGGATTTATAAAACTAAGAAGTACAATATACTAGTATACTGTATATAGGGTTAACATTTCCGTGGTTCTAATTTTATTAATAAAAATGTTATTATTGTAAAAACTAAGAAGTTCAATATACTATGCTGTATATAGGGTTAACATTGTTGTGGTTCTAATTTTATTAATAAAAATGGTATTATTTTAAAATTACAAATCTGATTCATTTAATTATTCACCGTTTACCTATTTAAACGAAAAGATAGTCTGTAAGTATATGAAATAAATGCTATGCCGATCTGAAATGTTTTGATTGTGAATGGATAGAAAATAACTAATGTATTGTCAATATAATATAGTAAAAATATATTCATAGATGTGGACTTACGCGCAATTTGTTCCTTTGTTAAATCATCCTAAAATAAAATAAAAAATAAAATATATAAATAACACAATATAAATTTATTAATAACTACATATAATAATATATATAATATATATACTATTATATATATAATAATACATCAGGAAATATTTTTTATTAATAATAATGTCAATAAATTATTACATATAATCTTTTAATATTACATGCATTATTAAAGTTAATTCTATTATTATAATTTTTTTTATTAATATTCTAAATTTTAAGCCAATTTCATTTAATCAAATTATTATATTTACATAATAATATTTTATATTATTGTTATTAATATTATTATATAAATGTTATTATATATATATATATATATAAGTATAATATATAAATAAATAATATGTATAATATATTGTGTGATATTTACTCTTTCCAATTTCGCTTAAGTATTTTTTAAGTATATAAATATTTATCAAAAGTAAATTAAGACAAATGTTATCTACATTAAGTAATACTTTTTAAAACACCTGTGATTCAATTATTTATTCAATTATCCATTGAAAACAAATAACATTTAATAATTGTTAGGTCATAACTTAGTCATCAAAATTTGATAACAGATGTTCTTATTCAAATATATACTGTAATGTAATACTTCATTTTACAGTTGTCAGCTGTAAGAAATCAGTCAGTTACTCTCTATTAAGAATAAATTATTCTATTCTGTTCCTATTATATTTTTTCAATAATGAGAAATGAGCCTTAAATCAAAATTTGCGGAAAATTTTGTGGAATCACTCTTTTAAATAGAAAACTGAAAAAGAATGGCTTTACTTAAGAACCAGTATTTTTCTTGGGTGTTATCTAAAACCAAGGCACTCGGTTGACATATGAGTTGAAGCCGAAAAACGTCGAAAAACGATTTTGAATGTCAAAAATGCGTACAGAAAAAAATTAATACATTGAAATTTAAAAAAACAGCATTTTAAGCGTACCAAACAGATAAATCGAGCTCAAAGCCAAAAATCCACAACGACAAGATAATGCTGTGTATTTGGTGGGATCTCAGAACTCATCAAAAAGGTGACAAGATAAAGTGAATGAATAATGAGAGAACTGCACAGACAACAAATGACAACAAATGATTCATTTAAAGAGAAAGCTATGACCGACGGAATTTGCCACCAAACACAAATACGTGATTTTCTATCACAACAACATATAACGGTGAATATTAATGCACCGTTTAAAAACTATCTAGTAGAGTATACATCTGCCATATAGTCATATAGACCCTCCCTCCGGCAACCAAAAACGATTTCGATCAATGTAAAATACCTTCTATAAAATAAGATTACCCTAAGACTTTAGGCTAATGTGATAAAAATTGGCTTAACTTATTTTGAATCTCAAAAGACCACAGTTCCACAGTTTGACATGGGATCCATAATTTAATAGAATTTTTTTTTATTTACGTATTTTAATATTACGTAAATACGTAATTATAACAATTAGTATATATAAAAATATACGTTTATTTTACTAACAAATATTTAAATAAAAAATATTTTAGAATATAATTTGTCACACGTCTTCTCTCACATGCCATCTTGTTATATATATAACTAGTACAGCCCCATATAACTAGTATATACTAATAAACAATTAGTTTTTTATTTAATTACTATTTTATATATATAACCTACATAAATATGTATATATATGCAGCCTCCTATGACGCCATGATGTCAGACACTATATATTTGAGCATTGAGTAGTAGTTTGTAGAAGAGCGTAAGCTTCAATTCTGACATGATAATAGAGTAATAGAAAGATATTATAATGTTGAATATACAATTTTTTTCGTGATCCGTTCTTGTGTTAATATATCAGAATAGAGCATTTTATAAATAAAAAATACTTCAGAGTTGTAAGTCATTGCACTTTTTAGTTGAATAAATAATAATTTTTAATAAAATGTGAACTCCGTGTCTAACATTTAAAATGATATATTGTCTA